GATATATCTATTAATTGACCTTTTTTATTGAACTAAAAAATGAAAAATAACTTCAATATCTCAATAATACATCAAATTAATACAACCATGTGTTGAAAATGAATGAAAATGATAAAATATAAAAATACTTGAAAGAATAAATGAAAATAGAATAAACAAAAATAGGAAAACATTATCAATAATCTTCCAAAAAGTTCTTAAAAAATTAATAAAAACCAAAGAGCAACAAAAAATAAAAACGTTTTACAAAACAAATATAAGGAGGAAAACACCCCTCAACAAAGGAAAAAGGATTAATAAGTGATAAAGAATAAATATGATTATCTACTATATCTAATAATTTAAAAACAGCTTAGTTTTAATTACTTATACCTTATTTAATTTAAAAAAATTAGAATTAATAAAAAAGCAATATCAATAAAATGATGAGACAGTTGTTAAACTATTATCATCATTATAACTAAACACAAAAGTACAGCCCTAACCAAAAAAGAACAGTTTCTAGTGTTTTGGTTTTGTTCTAACTCGCATTTACCTACTGAAGAACATTTATAACCACTTCTACAACTACCACATTCAGGCACACACCCCTCTTCAAATAATGAAGAATTGTTTGTTGTACACTCAGTGAATGAACAATCTGTTGAAGAAAAGTTACAAGATGGTTGAATAAAATCAATCCTATGCTTAAGTGTAGCATTTTTTAGTATAAATTGAGTTCCAATGTCAGTATTGAATGAGAATGAAATAATGTTTGCTTCAATGTTACTTTTGTTTTAGTTAAAAATGAGTTAAATAAAAAAAATAACAAACCATATGCTTTAATAGACCTACTAAAAAGACATCTTAAATGCAAGGTATGGTCATTCTCTTTATATATTATAGTTGTTACATTTTCTTCTATATACGTGGAGTCTTGATGTGTAAGAGTATCTCTTCTATTGTTTAATGCAATATTTGTCATAAAAAAATTTTGTATTCCTTTATATTCCAGTGTTAAATAAATTTCACTAAAATGTTGATGTATTTGAATTGATGTTGGATAATGCAGTACTATTGTTGTACGTTCATGAGTTGCATTAAACACAACTCCATCTTCTGTAGCATTTATAACAACTACTGAGAAATCAGAATTTAATTGAAAGAAATCCCAAGCAATATATGGATTTCTTCCTTGAATTGTACCATTGAGAAACACTTGTCTATTTGGAGAATAATTACATCCTGAATAAATCCGTGAACTAAATTTAGTTTCTGCTTGAATAACAGGAGATGTTGTCTCATGTCGAACTGCATTGATTAGTTCACCACCCAAAGATACAAGGCCAATTGACTCTCCTACACGAATATAAGGTACTTCAAACGTGTGGTCATCTTGTTGATAATAATCATGACTACCAACAATAACTTTTTCAATAATTCTATTAGAGTTTAAAACCATAAACTTAGTAGTTTCTTCATTGGTAGGTAGAAGATAGAGTGATGCAAATTGATGATAATTACAATCCCCACTATATGCTGTAACTTGAACGAATATATCAGCAGAAGAATTAAATCTATTTCCTATCTTAAAATAAAAATTTTCGTCTAAAAGAATCACGTTCTCAAATATATCTTCATCAACAATCTCTGAAGTCATACTAAAAAAACCAGCAACAGTACATTGAAATGGTGTGTTTGAAGGTCCAATTAAAGTCATACATGCACCACATTTTGAAATATTATGTTTTCCTTTATGACTCCATTGCAATTTTTCATGAATATAACAAAGGGAATTAATAGAAGCTGCTATAGAATATTCAGCAGGTTTCTTCATTGAATTAAGGCAGTCAAAAGTAATTGAATAACTCATTGTTAAATCACCTTGTTTCCCAATGTTATTCATATTACCAATTAGTGCACCATCCTATTAACCATTAATTTAATTTAGAATTATTTCTAAGTCAACAAACAATACAAGAAGATTGTTCTAAAGAGAGAACAATATATATTAATGTAATGAATAAAAAGAAAGACATTATACGATTTAAAAGTTTGGAAAATGATTTAATTATAGAGGCAATAGGAGATGATTTTCATTTTATTAAAAATAGAAAAATAGGTTTTGAAATTTACAGTTATTCTAACAACCAAAAAGAATATTCTATTATAAAATATACCAAGAAAAAAAGGCATCAATAACATAACCACTTTAATTTCCTTCTAACATTAATTTAAAACCTCACTCAATAAATCTTATTTAAAAAAAAAGAAAGTATTAGTGTTAGTTATTCATTAATTACTCCTCATTAATCTATTTATCTTAACCAGAATTATACAACTAATTTTCTTAACGTTTCAATTAATTAAAAAAGTCC